TGCTTTACATTTAAAAAAAAAAAAAAAAAAAGCCAGCAAACCTGAGTGGCGCAGTTCAGACCTGGCAACCAGTCTGAAATCACTCTATTGCTTACACTAGGGATTGGTAACTTCTTGGCCCTGAGCTGGCAAAGCTCATGCTGCCTTGCCGCTACTTTCTCTCACTGCAGATACATGGCCCCTTTGCATGGAGGGGCACTGGCACAACAGAATTTTATGGGAGCTTTGTGTGGAGATATTGGGCACCATGATGCACTTGCATGCTGCCCTGTGGCAAATCAGACCTATTTGCAGGCTGGATCCAGCCTAGGGGCCATAGGTTGCCAACCCCTGGCTTGCATGCTTGGGTGCATGTTTTCAAGGTCATTTTCTATAACCAGGTGACTTCGAAGTTTGAAAAACTTAAAGCCACATAATTTTGGTTCTGTGTGGGATCCTGTCTATATATGCATAAAGCTTTATAGACTTGAGTGAGTTGGGTCTTGTAGTAAATATATAAACTTGATTCAATTTAGTGGCTATTCCTATTCCTCTGAAACATAGCTTTAACCAAATTGGGGAAAAATTTTTAGAAAACATTTGGCCTCTAAAACTGTCAAACTTGAGTAAAGAGAGCTCTTCTCTTTTTAAAGCTGAGTTATAAACTCCAGAACAATGTGGCTGACATTGGAAATGCAGACAGGCTTTTAAGTATAGTGGTGCAAATAGCATCACTTTAATAATAGTTATTTTCTGTCTCTCAAGCACTCATTGTTCCATTAATGTCTTTTTTTTCTCACTAGATGGATTTTAGTCACTTAATTCAGTAGCATAAGGCTTGTGTCCATCCTTATTCAGCATTTTTTACTTGATTCGCTTCAGTCCTAGTTCAGAACTGAAGAATGAAACACAATATGGAGATTCCTTCTATATTATAAAGAAAGAATCAAATAAGATAATTTTAAAGTAGAGGATGATGATGCTTGTATTCTGTCATTACAGAAAGAATGGTGAAAATACTTCCTTTAAAGCTACTTCTAGCACATTAACTAAACAGGAGATCTGAATGATCTGAGAACATAATGTTGAAAAAGCTATTGATTGTAGTCAGTAACACAGTAGAAATACAGTGTGACTCTTTGATAAGGATTCCCTAGGCAGTCAGACATTTTCAAACAAATCCATTTTAATTAATCATGAAACTTGCTTTTGCTGAGTAACTTTGGCTTACATTTTTAGCAAGTCATCTGCCATCATACACCATGCTGACATGAGCCAGAATTAATTATTTCCATTTATATCACTGTTCATCCAAAAATACGGTGTCATAATTGTTACTTGTTCAAGGATCTCTGCAGTTCCCAAAGACCACAGTGGCACTCTAGCTGTTTAGCTTCCAGCAGTACTATGTAGTAGTTAAAGTGGAGAGATGATATTTAATCCAGTAGAAACTGTGCAAGGGCTTTAGACAGAGAAAAGCTACTTGGTAACTAAAACCATAGGAAACAGTTTAATGCACGTTTTTGTCAGTAGTGTAATTGACACATACAAATAGTTAAAATAACAATCAAGGGTGGAAGTCAAATGCACAAAAAAAAATAGGAAATGCCAAAATTAGGGTACTCTGCCACCTGAACTAGGTGTTCTTACATGTGTTTTATGACAGACTTGTGTCACCTAGGGATTTTGTGGCAGACCCATGTACAGAATGCCCCTGTCATAGTCTGGTGTGCTAAAACATCAGACCCTCACTGAGTCCCTCCTGTACCCTAAGAGGCAGCAAGTGATCCTGTAGAACAAAGAATAAGTGCTCACATAATTAAGCTTCAGAGATGGAAGTAAGTGTAACAAAGCAGCAGTGTTCTGGCAGTTCTGGAGGGAAAGCCATAAAGCAGTTTTCTTCAGATGCCTAAGGGTTTGTCTGGGAAGTTATTCTGCTGTAAACTAGAATGTGGATTTACAGTGTGCTGTCTTTTGAGCTGCCTTGGTTCTGTTCTTACTTATGCTGCACACACTGTGATAGCCTTCAGAACAGTTTAGAATCTGGATGGCTTAAATCTACTTCTTCAGGATGTGACCAGTGCTTTGTGATGCATGACAGAATCTGATTCCTGGATTCTTTTACTGACTTTGTAAGAAGATTTGCTGTCCCACCTCTGATAGGAGCCAGGAAGTTACCAGCCTAAGGTAGGGGAAGGAAGCCTTGTTCATGTAGAGAAAGCTGTGAAGTTTAAGCTTTTTGTTAGTGGAAAATCTGAGACTCATGAGCTGTGGACAGAAGTTACACACAAACAGGTATAAGTGATTGGAAACCAGTTCAAATCTGTAACACAACAAAAGTTAAATGCACATAAACCACTTTTGAAATGGCTGAAAGTGGTTTAAGATAAACCTATCTAGATTTAGATAGATTTATCTAGATCCCCTCCAGATTCAAGTTAACTCACAGTCCCCCAGGATGCTTTGCAACCCCCTTTTTTTAAATCTAATACTAAAAATCAGTAAGGTAGTGTAAAAATATTTAGGACTGGAAAGTAAAGATACACACATTTGGATTGGAAATAAGATACACATTTTTAAGTGGGGATGCCTCATCAGTGGAACAGCGTGCTTAGGGGTGCAATAAATTCTTTAGAACTTGGAGTCTTTACATTCAGGCTGAAGATCATCCTAAAAGATGTTGTACTTCAACCAGAAGTTGTGGGTGTGATGCAAGAATTTCAAGGTGAAATTGTGTTCTGTGTCATGCAAGACATCAAAGTAGATTATGATAATTGTCCTTTTTGGTCTTAATCTTTGACTTGGTCTCCAAGATTGAACAGGTACCAGCAGTCACATATTTTGACCTTGTCTCTGTAGTTGTGAAGGAGCATAGAGGGAGAGATGAGGGTTTGTAATGTAGCCAAAGGTCAGAGAGCAAAGAGTGAAGAACTTGGTTTTAAAATACAGTTTGGAGCAAAAAAGCAAGTATTTTATATTGAGCAGAGCTTTATATGCCCAAAATGGCTAGTGATAAATAAGCGTGCAGAAATAGGTTTAGTGTTTTTGTAGACATAACAAACCCAGAAATTCCTGATGAGGCTTATTTCCTACTTAAGGTTACTGGTCTCTTGACCATTGTGAACTTTTGGGTGAATGGGCTGGGAAAGTACTCCA